ATGGGCACATCATGACCATATATAGGCACATCATGACTATATATGGGCATACAACAGTATTTTATGGTCATGATGACATCACACCATGACCATATATAGGCATATCATGACTATATACAGGCATACAACAGTATTTTATGGTCATGATGACATCACACCATGACCATATATAGGCACATCCTGACTATATATGGGCATACAGCAGTATTTTATGGTCATGATGACATCACATCATGACCATATATAGGCACGTCATGACTATATATTGGCATACAGCAGTATTTTATGGTCATGATGACATCACACCATGACCATATATAGGCACATCATGACTATATATGGGCATACAACAGTATTTTATGGTCATGATGACATCACACCATGACCATATATAGGCACATCATGACTATATATGGGCATACAACAGTATTTTATGGTCATGATGACATCACACCATGACCATATAGGCATATCATGACTATATACAGGCATACAACAGTATTTTATGGTCATGATGACATCACACCATGACCATATATAGGCACATCATGACTATATATGGGCATACAACAGTATTTTATGGTCATGATGACATCACACCATGACCATATATAGGCACATCATGACTATATGGGCATACAACAGTATTTTATGGTCATGATGACATCATATCATGACCATATATAGGCACATCATGACTATATACGGGCATACATCAGTTTTTTTTTTGTCAAAGAAAATTTGATAGTCTAGACAGAGCTTAAAACTTTGTCTACACTTATCAAATTTTATGTGACAAAAAAATGTGATGTGCGATGGTTACGATGACGTCATATCATATACAGGTATTATTAAATTGTATAAATGTTCAACTCTTATGTTCCATCACATTTTATACGACGCTTTTTTAATAAAATTTGATAGTGTAGATAAAGCTTAAGAAATTGAGCTTTCCCAAGTCAGATACCTAATTTTCAGTATGTTCTAATTTTTTTTTGTGCCTCTAGTGGCGTTTTCTTAGCTCCCGGAGGGTTCTGTTCTGTATCCTCAGATATCGTTGTTAATTACAGTTTAACTACATACAGTTTTTGAGATGATTTAATGACATTGTGTGATTGAAATAAAGTCAGTCATTTGATAGTTTGCTTTATCATCTTGTGTTTCAGAGTAAGGCATACACACGCAATGTAACTAAAGAACAGTTTGGACGTATTCTTCATTTTCTGTCACTAAATGTCAAAGCTGAAGATTTTAAGTTGCTGTGCCGAAAGTTTGAAGAACAATTGAGTGGAGATATTAATTATCCAGCATTTGTTCAGAGTGTTGATAATGGTAAAATTCTCTTATTTTTACTATTATTGTTATTATTAAAATAATATTTTTTTACTTTTTTTCATGAGGGTTACTTATTAAAAGAGGAAAATCCTATCTTTAATTGCAATTTATGACACATAATGTGCAGCTACAGTACCTACTCTAATTTCCATTTTTTTTTTGTAACCATATTTATAGAGTGTGACCCTTCCAGCTTATCCCAGAAGGTCAGCTGATATTCAGGGCCCTTTTAAATGTATTAAATAAAGCGATGCTTTTATCAGTAAAGTCTGTTTATGAGTGTTTGGGAGTGAAATTGTTTTTAGTTGTGAGAAAAAGTCCTACTGTAAGAGGAATTGAACCCAGGACCATGTGATTAGAAGGCAAGCATCTTAAGTACTAAGCTATTCAACTGCACTCCAAGACAAACAAAACAGAGAAATCTGAATAAACATGAATCTAAATCTGAACATACATATCTAATTCACACTCGTATATCTCCTTCAATAGAATACATTGGTTTCACAATGGAATCAGGTGATAAGCAAAAGCCAGATGGTGCAAGTGTTCTGTACACTGACATACCAGTAGACAGCAGCAGTGTTCACCTACCACATCTCATCTCCACTATTCGCCACTTTGTCCTTACTAACAGAATCAGGGTAAGAAACTTTAAATTTCATTTATGCTATAGAATTTTGGCCCTCTGTTATTGTTATTAGCAAATTAGACAGAAAGAGTTTTTGTTGCATGATTTTTTAACCTTCAAAGGTTATTTTTACACCAATGAAGATCAAGGGCATCGATCCATGGTAAAAAGTGTGTGGGGAGGTGGAGGGACGAATTGCAAAATAAGACTTTTACAGGTGGAGTTTAAATCGCCTCAGCTCCACCATGGTTGGGGCTGAATAAGAAATTTTATGATTGTGGCACCTCTAGTTAGCCGGAAAAGGCACTCTCAGACCTAAAGTTGAATATAATTTTCTTTTTTCTCCACTTTCAAATTTTGAAAAAATTAGGGAGGGTGGGCCAGATGGACCCCCTTGAATCTGCCACTAAAATACTCATCATAACAAGTTTTTCAATTTCTCCTAGTAATCATAATCATGTCCACTTATATTTCTTACAAATTATCATTCATAAAAATAATGATTTATTATCTACTGATTAGCTTGTGACGTATTCGAACCAAGAAAAAAAAATAAGATAAACTTAAAATAGTCACTTAGTCTAATTTAGTCTCTTTGCATGTACGGTATGTCCCCCCTACTATGAAAAGTGGGGGAAGGGGAACATGTTCCCGCTGTCACCACCCATCGACACCCATAGTGAAGATGGTACTGTGCATCTGCTGAAGCTTGAAGATTGAACCCAGGACCCTTGGATTAGGGAGCCAACATCACCACCAGGCCATTGCTATACTGCACTGAAATGCTTTTAAAATCCACCATACATTGTGCCTTGCTCATAAATATGAGTGATTTATTAAATTATGTTCACACTATAACATTTATGGCATTAAATATCTGATATGATGTCATCATGCCCAATAGGGCTGCAAATCACAGATATTTGTAACAGAAAATCTGATGTGTGAACAGAACATTACACAATAGCATCCCCTTCTACACCAGGTCAATGCCACAGGTCAATGCCTTTGTCTGAAATTTCAATGATTTAATTCCTTAGGTTTGCGAGTATTTCCAGGACTTTGATTCTTTGCGTGGACATTCTATCCCTCGTAGCCAGTTCATCATGGGATTGACCTCACTTGGAATGCACGATAATATAACCAAGGCAGAGTGTAAGGCGTTGTGTGACCACTATGCTAACCCCAAGAAGACCGACCAGGTGTTGTGGAAGGTTTTTGAGAAGGATATAGATACAGGTGATGAAAATATAATTTCTGAAATACCTACGCATAATGGTGTTTCATGTTAGCTTATTATCAATTTTTATTTGATAGCTGAAACACAAAGAGAGAAGCGAATGGAATAGAACCGGGTACCAAAGGGTGTCCATGGCTCAACGCACATGCAGTGGCTACCGCCAGTTTAGATGACTGAACAGAATGCTGCCTACCCTACCCCCCCCCACCCACTGACATTTGTTTTGCCAGTTGGTAAAAAAACTAACATATGACATAGAATATATAACAGATATACAGTATTTAAAACTAAATTGCACGACAATTAATTATATCTAACAGTATTGTTTATATAAATTGATTATTTATATACAGTTTATTATTTTGTTGTTTATTAATTTTTTTTTGTGAAAAAAAATTCTGAAATACAGATAATGAAATGAATGAATTATATTGATTTTTTTTGTACCATATGCTAATTCTACAGCCTTTACTCAAGTTGCACCAAATTTGGAAAAAACTCCAACTAGCCAAGTGCCTCCACATGAAGTGTACTTGATGGAAAAACCAGGAACAATGGACTGGACGCAAGCAGATGTTGCAGAAGTCGGAATTGTCAATAACGCTATGGATAGAATGCAACAGCGTGTCATGCAACGAAGAGTTCTCTCTAAACCCTGTTTCCAGGATTTTGATCCGCACAATGTTGGCATTGTAACAAAATCTCAGTTCCGTCAATGCTTAACATTTCTTGGCCTGAGCGCTTCAGAATCGGAAATGTCTGCCCTGGAGTGTAAATATTCAAATGACATGGGATTCAATTATGTTAGATTCCTGGAGGATCTTCAACCTTCCATAAAGCCTCAACTGAAATACACAGAGAGGTTACAGGAATTACGTAAGGTGAATTCGAAGACCATATCACTGGAGCAAAACCCTTTGACTGACTACCAGAGCATTATGAACAAAATTAAGATTAAGGTGAGTAAAAGTAATAAGTAAGGTTGTGGTATGGTGGTTGAATAACACTTGCCTTTAAAAATTAAATTTGCTAAAAAAAAAGTCTCTGAATAGTATATAGTAATTTGCTAAAAAATATGAATATTTGATGGTTAATAATGAAGATGATAGTTTAAAAAAAATAAATTAAAATTAAAAAAATAATGATAATACACTTTTATTAAAACATCATGTGTTATTTATTTGAATAATCTGCCGTGTTATTTATTTGAATAATCTGCCATATTACACACATTTTTCTCATTTGCTCAGGTTAGCAAACAACGCATGCGTGTTCTTGAATTCATGCGTGATTATGATAAGCTGAGGACTGGACGATTGCTGAAAACCTTGTTCCGTCGTGCTTTAGATCTTGCCAACCTTGGGCTCATGTCCACTGAGACTGCAGTGTTGGAAAAGGAGTAAGTCTTTAAGCTTTGTCACACTAACGGTTACGGTTATGTCATCAATTGGAGTGGATTTGAATAGCTCAGTGGTTAAGATTTTCGCCTTCTGATCCCAGGTTCCTGAGTTCAATTCCTGTCACAGCAGGACTTTTACTCACAAACAAAACCAACTCCACTCCCTAAGCCTCATACAGAGAGTGACAAGTGTACATGCTGTTGGATGAAAATGAAAAAATGGAAAAAAAAAATAAAAATTCTAGGACAACCTTTGCCCTACACTACCATATTTGTCACAAAGTAGGTGATTCATGCCTTTTGCATGAATCAAGAATCATATGCTGCTCATACAGCATATTAAGAAGTTTTTGGCACGAATGACAATAACGACAATGACGTATTCTTTATCGTTTTGAAAAGTTGTGAAATCTCCCTAATATCAAATTTTCTGTTACAAATATCTGTAATTTTACCATTATAGGTATGATGATGTCATATTTATTTTTCATTTTGTATTGTAATGGTAATATTGATATAGTAATTGTTATTCTTTGTTTTTTTTTTTTAAATGTTATTGCTGTATAAATACTTTTCCTTTACTTCAGAATATTTGTTTATTATCATTATTTTTATTGTTATGTTATTATTGTTATTGTTAGTTTTGAAGTATGTTCCACAGGCATCAATTCTGATGACCAGGGGGTAATAATGTGCAGCGCATAGATACATTAGCGATATGTGCTATATAAGAATCCATTTATCATTATTTATTATTAATATTTAAATCTTAATTTTATTACCAGGTATGAGTGCCCGGCCAACCCTGATTATGTACAGTACCTTTTGTTCTGTGATGAAGTTGAGAGTATTTTTACGTTGAAGCACCTTGAGAAGACACCGCTGGTGACACCAATGCAGTTTAAGCCACCTGTGGAAGTAGATCAAAACGTCTTATCCGAGGAAGCTGAAGCAATGCTTATGAGAACCATGAGACGATTGGCTGAGAAGGTTAGTTACGTATAGTATTCATATCAAAGAGTGTCATCTCACCAAGTATTGTAAATTAATACATAGGAGGCCAGTATTATTGCATTAGGTTTACTGTACTCAACATCTGTAAGGCAGTTCTGAGGGACAACCTTTAGTGGGCAGGCTACAAATGGACAAATGGGACATTCCTTCTCTCTGTTAACCAAAGATCTGCCTTGGCAAGTAAAAGCACTCCTGAAGCCCACGCACAAGAGCTTTATGGTTTTTGTTATTGTTGTCATTCATTATTATTTTATTATATTTTTATGTTCAATGTTATTATCTCATTTATATTATAATTATTAGCATAAATTTATATCATATATATTTTTTGTATTTAAGGTCCGTCAACGACAAATGCAGCTCTTCCCACTATTTGAAGATTATGATCGCGTGCATAATGGCACAGTTTCACGCTCTCAGCTAAACCGGGTGCTTAGTGAGCTTGAGTTGGGATCCTTAGTAAGCGAAAGTGAATTTCTCGTATTATACAAGAAGTTTGACGTGAAAGTTGGAGGCAAGCATGATGTAAATTACATAGCATTCTGCGATATGATATATGAACTTGCAAAGTTTGAAGTTGGTAAACCGTGAGCAGCAAATTTCATGTAAATAGTTAATTTTGAACTTGTAAATATAGATGATGCCATGTAAAACAATAAATTATAATAATTGACTTTAAAGTGTGTCTGCAGATTGATGATATTTTACTCTTGATAAACAAAAGATGTAATGTATATAAAAGCAAAATCTAGGAAATTAAAATTACATAATTTCAATGTTAATTCATAACAAAAGAGCAATCTGAACAGAAAACTAATTAATTCAAATGTTGTTTTTTTTTCTTTATGATTTTAATACTGTGTGTACTCAAGTTAATAATATTAATAATTTTATTAAGAAGAGAATTGAAATATAATTATTATTTGTAATGACTTTGATATCAGCTGAATTGACTGGAAAGAACAAAAGTGAATAATCTATGCCATGAGTGCTTTCATCAATAATATGTATAATAAACATTGTCTTTCTCTGTTGTCTTTCTAGCGATTAGTTCTCTAAAATATTCTATAAGGGTTGGTCTCCATATTGTTAACTACCGGTATTAATAATTATTACAATAATATGTCAAAATAGAGATTTTGCTGTTCAGTAGGTGATAAAATATGCACACACTGCAATCCAACAACAGTTGAACAGAAGTGTCAAATGTGGAGTATAAACACTTTTTTCTGGAGGTTTAGAAATCGTCGCTCACATTACGAACTAACACAATCAAAGTAGATTGTGTTAGTTCATGAAATCAAGAAAGCTCGTCAAAATAAGCGCTGTTGTTGTTAAGGACTTTTTGTGTGGTAAAGAATACAAAATTGCTTGACAACCAATACTCGCTCGTTTTGACGCGCTACTGTGATTTCAAGAACTAACACAATCTACTTTAATTGTGTTAGTTTGTGATGTGAACGACGATATTGAGGACATTTATTGTATAATATGAATGTTTACTTATTGTTTTTTCCCAGTGGCCAATCTTAGGGGCATGCACAGGGGCGGGGCCTCCAAAAGTACTCGCGTCTGCCAGTCAGGCAGACCGGGTGATCAATGTATCGGGAAAAGATTTATCTACGCAAGAAACTAATGTACTAACCAAGGATCTGAATTTCGCGGTCGTACACGAAACTTACCCACTAAAGAAATAATTACTAATACTCAATTAGCATGTTCACAACTTGTGGATAAAGAAAAAGCCAAGAACTGAGAAGCGATGTGGTCCGTATATTAAGAGAGCCGGCCAAAGCCCCAATTAATAACATCTCAAAAGACGAAAGGATAGATTTAGCCAACCTCAAAAAAAATAACGACATTATGATATTACCCGCAGACAAAGGCCGACCTACAGTAGTAATGGATAAAGAAGAATATGAAAAGAAAATTAATGCATTACTACAAGACAAAGAAACATACAAGAAGCTAAAGGAACCGACCAGTTAAGTACAAAAATGAACTTATTAACATATTAAGAAAATGGAATCGACAGAAAACTATATAAAAAAAGCTGTATAGGCCTACCAAAATGTACCCTAACATCTGAGATCCCGAAATTATATGGACTATGGAAAATTCATAAGACACTCCACTACGACCAATGTATCAAGCATTATTAGCAGGCGTATCATATCAAGCATCTAAAGTATTAACTAAAATATATTAAGGCAATTAATGGGACAAACTGAACACCATGTTATAAACACTTCGCCAAGAAAACCAATTATTAAGTTCTACCAGACCAAAAGTTGATATCATATGACGTCAAATCATTATTCACTATGAAAGGCATACATATATTACGAGAGAAAGATTAGAACATGACACGTCATTAGAAAGTAGAACGTCACTTCCAATAATCGAACTTTTAAACATTTTTGTACACAACATTCTCCTACAAAGAGGAGTTTTACCTACAAGCTAAAGGGACAGCAATGGGATCACTGCAGTATCTCCTATAATCGCGGACATATATATGGAAAACTTCGAATACATGGCGTTAACCACGACACCACATCCCCCAGAGTTCTGGTATAGATATATTATGGATGACACATTTACGAAATTACAGCGAGACCAAATTGAAGAATTTACGGACCACATTAACAGCATCGATCCAGACTCAATTTACTATGGAACAGGAACAAGACATGAAACTTCCGTTTTTGGACACATACACACATATTAACGCAGACACTTCTACAAAAATCACGATTTGCAGAAAACCAACACACGCTGACCAATATTTAAATTTTCAATCGAACCATCATCTTGAACACAATAGATCAGTGCTACTTCTTTATTATACCGAGCAGAGAACATTATAAGCGAAGAAGAGGACAGAATTAGTGAAATTAACCACATACACAAAGTACTAGCGGCAAACAATTATCCTAAGTGGATGCAGACAATCCCACAAAATGTAAAATTAACGGATAAATACAAACTGATGAAAAAGAAAAGAAAATTCTTATTGCTCTCCCATACATCAGGGGAACATCGGAAGCCCTAAATAAAATTTACAAAAGAAATGGAGTAACAGCTTACTATAAACCTTTCAACACACTGTGGCACAATTGGTCAAACCAAAGGACCCAACCCCGGTAAAAACAGTGCGTGCGGGTCGTGTACGAAATTGAATGTGTTACGTGCGAAAAAACGTATATGGAGAAACCGCAAGATCATTAGACATACGCGTGTCAAGGAACTTTTAAATCAACGTGTTGAAATACTTTGAGCGGTAGCGGAACATTGTAAAATCACTGGACACAACATTATTTGGAATAAAATCAAAGTACTCTAAAGAGACTTACTAATTCATTCAAAAGGAAAATAAAAGAAGCTATAGAAATTAAAATGAGAACGCCACCATTAAACCGAGATTGCGGATATGAGCTACCACCCATATACAATAGCCTGCACGTCATCATACGAACATCAATGCTGACGTGTCAGTTAACCGCCAGATTGAAATGGCTGACGAAGATGACGAGATGTCATCATGGACCTATTAATAATAATATTAATTTCATCGAAAGCTCCCAGAAACTAAACTATAACTCTGAAAGGTAACTTACACTCTTTTTCTTATTATCATGACAGAGTTAGAGAAACTTCGATGCGATTAAATTAATAAACCTGTATCTCGTTTGATATTTTTGCCATCGTGTCTATCACTTCTTGAGGCGCTTGAAAGATTCGTCAGTTCTGGTTTTCTGCGAATCTTCAAATTCTCCACCGTAGATCAATACATATCTACAAAGATAAAAGTTTTCTCGTCAACAACTGTATCACTCCAACAAATGCGAATCACATCATTTTGTACACATGGTCGGCGAAACCGGGGAGGGGGAGGGCGAGGGTCCGGTCCACCACTTTTTAGCAGAAGATATATAATGTCTATGCAGATTTTTGTATGATCGGAAAGAAATGCAAGAAAAGAAAAGGGGGAAGAAGGAGGAGAGTGAGGGGAAAGAGGGTGTTTATCCAGTCCCCAACCGAGTTAAATGTTCTTGCAAAATTGGCGGATCTAGAGGGTTCCCTTTAGGCAAAAATTAAATTAAAAAAAAAAAAAAAAAAAAAAATGCTAGACCTACCTTTCAGGACCTGTGAGCTAATTTTTTTTGTTACAATAAGAAAATCAAATATTTTTCGGGGGAGGGAAAAAAAAGAAAGAAAAAGAATTAAAAAAAGTAATACTACGACCTACATTTCAGGACCTGTGAGCTGATTTTTTTTGTTGGTTACAATAAGACAATCAAATATTTTTCGGGGGAGGTCCCCAACCACCTATTCTTTTTGGGGTTCATGGATTCATGGAAAAAAGAATAGGCCTACGTATGCAACGCTGTATACTGCTACCCACACAATAGACATATTTCCCGTAATAAGAATGAGAAAAATGTACCTGACCGTTTCCAAGAAGGGAAACCTGGAATTTTGAAGAATTTAAGTCATTAAAAGACATTTTAGAAGTTGGGAAGCTAATTTCCCGCCTTAGAAATCAACATTTTCCCGGGGAGACCCCGAACCCTCCTTTCACTTTGGGGGTTTATCGATTCATGCAAAAAAGAATACAATGCAACTACTCAATATTTTTATGTAGGTATACACACATAACAGGCCTATTTACTGTAATAAGAATGAGAACGTTTACCTCACCGTTTTCAAAAGGGGAAAACCTTGAATTTTGAAGAACTTAAAAGTCATTAAAAGACACTTAGAACAAAAGTCGGGAAAGCTCATTTCCCACCATCTAGGAATTTGCTGGAGAGGACCCACAGACCCCCTTCCTTTTTGGGTTTTTGGGACACATTTGGACCCCACCTTTGAAAAACCTTCCGCCGGCCGCATTATTATTTTCCCATACACTTAAGGCAGAAATTACAGAGGGCGCTATTTTAGGTCAGTTAGGTGAACTGATGCATGAACATGCATACCAGACCCGAAGTAGAGTGGTGTATTAAGCTACAGCAATTATATTCTTTGGCTACAGTGCTTATGCGTGGATGAACATTAAGCCTTGGTAGAAAAATTAATGGACTATAATTGTAATAATATGCATGATCTTTCAAAGTATAAAAAACACAGTAATATTGAATATGACTATCTTTGAGTAGGCCTACAGTAATAGTATCCATGACATGTGTAGCAATTGTATGCCCCTATAATAGGTAGTGGCTATCGGCACTGCCGCAGTGCCGATTTGGCACTGCCGCAGTGCCAAAAAAAGCTGCTGTCTTCTATCGGCACTGCCGCAGTGCCATAAAGCTGCCGTTTTCTATCGGCACTGCCGCAGTGCCAAACAGTTGCTGTTTTCTATCGGCACTGTCACAGTGCGAAAAGCTGCTGTAAATTAATTGAATCGATGTTTTTATCCATAGATGACATTGGTGTAATTCATAATTCATAATTTTATTTCACTCAAAACGTAATGAGACTGGTTAGGCAAAAACATGTCCCTGTACAAGATGCCTACTAGAGAAACAATGATAATGTTAATGGCAAAGACATAATAATAATAATAATAATAATAATAATAATAATAATAATAATAATAATAATAATAATAATAATAATAATAATAAATAAATAATAATAAAAAGTAAATGATAATAACAATAATAATGAATGAAGATCAAAATGTATCACTGAAGTGAATTCAGTTATTTATTAAAACAAGATTTGGAGGGCTGGACTGTCATGAAGGTGTTGTATTAATAATGTTCTAAATATTTGCCTTTATTATATCAATAATTGATGAGGTCTAGCTTAGCATATATTATTGTTAACATTATATTATATTTATTTAACAATTAGTTTAAATAATTATTTATAATTAAATTATTAAATGTATACAATATATATTATATAGGCCTAGGCATATACATAAAACAAAAAATAAACAAACAATAATAATAATAATAATAATAATAATAATAATGATTTTACGATAGTTTAATTAATGAAATAGTAATAATCAGCATATATGAAATTAAAATTACGTCCATGCAGAACCTGCTTTTAAAAAAAACGTTATCTATTTGATTGTTTTAAAAATTAATCGTATAAATTATTAGTTTATTTTCTGCGATAATTTTATGCACATATGCATATTCATGTTTTCAATGTTAATCTGGTTGATAAATAATATATAAAAAAATAAATAATAATAATAATAAAGGTGCTCGAATAATGCTTTAGTGAATAATTAATA